ACAAAATATTAGAAAATTAAAACACATTTAAAATGGTAAATTTTTGTAAGAAATATGGATTTTGCAATTAGGCTCCGTCTTTTTGTCTTAATATACATATCCATCTTTTCACATCAAGAAATTTAAAATTATACATTTTTGCAAGGAAGTATGGATTTTACAATTATAGAGCGAAGACTAATAGTAAAATCGATATTTCCTTGTACAAATTTTCCATTTTAAACATATTTTAAGTTTTATTCTGTGAAAAGAAGTCTGCACATATTAAAACAAAAAGGCAAAATATAAGCCCCGCCCACCCACCCCATCTCAATTGTGGTGATTTTTTTTTTATTCTAGAAACCTAAAACACGTTTAAAATGGTAAATTTTTGTAAGGAAATATGGATTTTGCAATTAGGCTCTGCCCCTAGATCTGCCAACGAATGAAAAGTCATTACTGTTTAGATCAGGGCAGGTATGGGTGGGGCTTAATTTTTGGCTTATTTTTTAGTATACATAGTATTCTTTGAACAATACGATACTCAAAAACATATTTTCTACGGCGTCCGTTTTTTGATTTTCTAAAGTTATTTAAGCACCCAAATGACGTAAAAGCGGTTCGTTAGTAGCCGAAAGGGGTTCTGAAATAGATCTGGTGTAATTTAGATCGGTAAGATTGGTAGCCATGACGAGAAATGTCAGGTGAATGTCAGTGGCAAATGTCAAATTAAAATTTCCCGTCTTTCGGGAGGCGTAAGGACTTCACTAACTTCTTCACAAGACATTTTAACTTATAAAAACTCGAATTGATGCGAATTACAATTGTTGTTGTGAAAATTCGAACTTCAAATATTTCGTGGTTCGTGTCAGACCAACCCATCACCAACCACGACAAAATTCCCCAGATTTAAAAAAACGCAAATTTAAAATACTCATTCATAAGGCCATTGTGGCACTCATCCTTTATATAACTCGTTCTTTAATACTATTTTTATTTCTTGTAGAGAAATGAGGAATTTGCAATTAAGCTCCGCCCCCTCGGCTTACGACGAATAAAAAAAAATCATCAGAATTGAGATAGGGCGGGTGGGCGGGGCTAATATTTTGTCCTTTTTATTCTTAATATGCATAGCCATTTTTTCACAACAAGAAACTTAGAAGATGGTACATTTTTGCAAGGAAATATGGATTTTGCAATTATAGGGTGGAGTCTAATTGCAAAATCGATATTTCTTTATACAAATTTTTCATTGTAATAATAATAATAATCATAATTTATTACAGTATTTAGACGTTTTAAGTTTCATGTTATCAAAAGAAGTCTACACATATTAAAACAAAAAGGCAAAATGTAAGCCCGCCCACCCGCCCTATCTCAATTGTGACGATTTTTTTTATTCGCCGTGAACCAAGAGGGCGGAGCTTAACTGCAAAATACTTATTTCTTTACCAGAAATTAAAAACATGTTTTTGAGTATCGTATTGTTCAAAGAATACTACGTAAATTAAGAACAAAAGACAAAATATTAGAAAATTAAAACACATTTAAAATGGTAAATGTTTGTAAGAAAATATGGATTTTGCAATTAGGCTCCACTCCTCGGCTTACGATGAATAAAAAAAATCATCAGAAATGGGATAGGGTGGGTGGGCGGGGTTTCTATTTCGGCTTTTTTTTTGTCTTAATATACATATCCATCTTTTCACATCAAGAAATTTAAAATAATACATTTTTGCAAGGAAGTATGGATTTTACAATCATGGAGCGAAGACTAATAGCAAAATCGATATTTCCTTGTACAAATTTTCTATTTTAAATATATTTTAAGTTTCATTTTGTGAAAAGAAGTCTGCACATATTAAAACAAAAAGGCAAAATATAAGCCCCGCCCACCCACCCCATCTCAATTGTGGTGATTTTTTTATTCTTAGAAACCTAAAACACGCTTAAAATGGTAAATTTTTGTAAGGAAATGTGGATTTTGCAATTAGGCTCTGTCCCTATATCTGCCAACGAATGAAAAGTCATTACTGTTTAGATCAGGGTAGGTATGGGTGGGGCTTAATTTTTGGCTTATTTTTTAGTATATATACATTTTTTGATTTTCTAGAGCTATTTAAGTACCCAAATGACGTCAAAGCGGTTCGTTAGTAGCCGAAAGGGGTTCTGAAATAGATCTGGTGTAATTTAGATCGGTAAGATTGGTAGCCATGACGAGAAATGTCAGGTGAATGTCAGTGGCAAATGTCAAATTAAAATTTCCCGTATTTCGGGAGGCGTAAGGACTTCACTAACTTCTTCACAAGACATTTTAACTTACAAAAACTCGAATTAATTCGAATTACAGTTGTTGTTGTGAAAATTCGAACTTCAAATATTACGTGGTTCGTGTCAGACCAACCCATCACCAACCACGACAAAATTCCCCAGATTTAAAAAAACGCAAATTTAAAATACTCGTTCATAAGGCCATTGTGGCACTCATCCTTTATATAACTCGTTCTTTAATATACTATTTTTATTTCTTGTAGAGAAATGAGGAATTTGCAATTAAGCTCCGCCCCCTCGGCTTACGATGAATAGAAAAAAATCATCAGAATTGAGATAGGGTGGGTGGGCGGGGCTAATATTTTGTCCTTTTTATTCTTAATATGCATAGCCATTTTTTCACAACAAGAAACTTAGAAGATGGTACATTTTTGCAAGGAAATATGGATTTTGCAATTACAGGGTGGAGTCTAATTGCAAAATCGATATTTCTTTATACAAATTTTTCATTGTAATAATAATAATAATAATCATAATTTATTACAGTATTTTAAACGTTTTAAGTTTCATGTTATCAAAAGAAGTCTACACATATTAAAACAAAAAGGCAAAATGTAAGCCCGCCCACCCGCCCTGTCTCAATTGTGACGACTTTTTTTATCCACCCTGAACCAAGGGAGCGGAGCTTAATTGCAAAATACTTTTTTTTACAAGAAATTAAAAACATATTTTTGAGTGTCATGTTATTTAAAGAATACTATGTATATTAAGAAAAAAAAAGCAAAATATAAACCCCGCCCACCCACCCTGTCTCAATTCTAATGATTTTTTTCTGTTTGTCGTAAGTCGAGGGGACGGAGTTTAATTGCAAATTCCTTATTTCTCTACAAGAAATAAAAAATTGGTCTAAAGAGTTTAGACAGTACTTCCCTCGCTGTCGGAAACGGAGTCATGCCTATTATGTTTTTTTTTTCGCAGTGGATTTCAAAGAATTCGGTTTTGTAGTTCCTGAATAAATCAATAAAATAAATTTACGTATTCATTAATTTTTTTTAGTCACCCTGTATATGCAAATCCAAAAAATGTGAATGGAGTGATAGATCACAAGTACAAACTCATCATATTATGTACATTTTAGATATGATTTATTCGGCAAATTTTCGAGCTGACGTCATCAAGTTTTTGGAGGGGATAAGCAAATATATTTTGACTAAACATTTATTATGCTCTTTATAACCTTAAAACGTCTGCAAGATGTCAGAGCATTCCGTTTTGTAGTTCCTGTATAAATCAATAAAATATATTTACGCATTCATTAATTTTTTTGAGTCACCCTGTATATGCAAATCCAAAAAATATGAATGGAGTGATAAATTACAAGTACAGACTCATCATATTTTGTACATTTTAGATATGATTTATTCCACAAACTTTTGAGCTGACGTCATCAAGTTTTTGGAGGGGATAAGCAAATATTTTTTGACTAAAGATTTATGATGCTCTTTATAGCCTTAAAACATCTGCAACATTTCAAAGCATTCTGGTTAGCAGATTAAAAATTAAATTTCAAAATGTTGTTTTATAATTTTGATTTTTTTTCCAAAAATCTGGACGTTTCGGGTGAAAAGTCGATTCAGAGTTGTAAACTACATGTGTAGGACTATGCTATTTTATACAATTGAAAACCCATTTACTATGTACAATTTTGAAGTGACGTCATCGCTTTAGTGGTGGGGATGATTCGACAAATTTTGGTTAGCGTTTTACCATCTACATGATATTCTTAATATAAGTACAAAATTTCACAACAATCGGTCGAGTACTTTCGGAGATTATCTGTCTAATAAAAATCCGTGACAACAGACGGACAGACGGACAGACGGACAGACGGACGGACAGACGGACAGACGGACAGACGGACAGACAGACGGAAATGGGAGACCTATTTCTTCGTCTTCTAGGGGTCATGAAAGATCGAGAAAACGTAAAAGTAGAGAGTCGGCCGACGGACTCGATTACAATACTTCCTTTGCTTACGCTCGGGAAGTAAAAATATGTTTTTGAGTATTGTATTGTTCACAGAATACTGTGTATACTAAAAAAAACAAGCCAAAAATTAAGCCCCACCCATACCTGTGCTGATTTAACAAGAATGACTTTTTATTTTTTTATTCTTAGAAACTTAAAACACGTTTAAAATGGTAAATTTTTGTAAGAAAATATGGTTTTTGAATTAGACCCCGCCCCTAGATCTGCTAACGAACGACAAGTTCATTACTATTTAGATCAAGGCAGGTATGGGTGGGGCTTTAATTTTTCGTAGCGAAATAAGTATTTTGCAGTTAAGCTCCGCCTTCTTGGCTCACGACGAATAAAAATAATCATCACAATTGAGACAGGGCGGGTGGGCGGGCTGAAATTTTGCCTTTTTCTAGAACTTGTATTATTTAAATTCAGCAAAATAGAAAATTTTGTTATAGAATTAATTCATGTATACGTAATTTTTTGTAGCTGAAATCACTCCTATTTCTGACAAATTTTTGCCTTTTCAACAAACAGAAGATGCTTTTGTTCTTAGAGCCACAAGAATCCATAAAAACTTCCAACTTAAATATTTTCTTCAATTTTTGTCCAGTGCCACTCAGTTCAGTGTTAACAGTTTCGATTTTGTTCATTTAAGTAAAAACGCCCGGAAAACCCAATCAAATCATCACAATCAATATCGCAATTTACAAAAATTATTAAAAACTTTATCTTCCAAAGTCACTCAATTTGCATAAAAATGAAGAAAACACAAACCTAAAACCCAAGATGGAAAAAATTTGTGGTTGATAACACAACGGTGGTTAGAACGGATAAGACCGTTTCCTTCCTATTAAGATTAGAAAGCTCGTTATTCCACCGAAATTAGATTGGACCTTTCAGTGCATATCGGTCCAAAATGACGAAAGGTTCCTATGCAGTAGGTGAAGACGCCCCCAGTCCACAAAGAAAGGACACCTCCTACAGATCCTTCATATGTGCCTTATTGATTTTTTTGTGCATTTGTTTAATCGTTCTGTTGGCTTCAATCAACTGGGGTGGCAGAAAAGCCAAACCGGAGTCGAACCACGGAGGAGAATCGTCAGCACACAGGGTAGGTTTTGAAATTTTGTGTATCAAGGGCTGAATGTAGGGTTTGACTAGGGAGACCACGTGGTTGAAGATAGTGGAAGAAATGAAGGACGGAGGAATCAGACGCACGAGAAAATACGGGTGTATGAAGAGACGACGACGCAGAAAATCGTGAAAGAAGCAGAAGCGACGCGTCGTTTCGAGGAAGATAAAACGACACAAGGAAACAGAGACGTCTTCCCGAAAAAAGATATTGAAGAAGTGACTGAACCGGAAAGCGAAGAAAAAGTCGACGCTACGACACAAAGCGAACGACACACTTCTAGTTCTAGAAAAGTTGACGAAGAAAAGGGATCCACGACTGAAGCCAATCAAGGAAGAATCGAATATGCGAAAGTTACAACAACAGATGACATAGATGAAAGTTCAGAAGAACCGGGAACGAAAGACCAGGTGTCTTCGACAACTGAACAAGAAGCTGAAGCGATTTCCACCACAGTTGATTCACATTTCGAGCAACAAAACGAAGACGACGACGGTTTTAAAAGCGTCATAAATGCAACTACCACGGATGAAGCACAAGAAGAAACCACCACAGAAGAATCAACTTTGTTTGCAAAAATCAAACTTCTAATCACTTCGACGACCGAAGGTGAAGAAAGCACGACTGAACAAGAACAACAAAATGAAGACCACGACGTTTCAACTAGTGAAGCAGAAGAACCCACCACTCAGACACAAGTCTCAGTCATGGAATCCGACCCAGAAGACTTAACTGAAGCCACTGAAATCCCGGAAAAGTTGTCGCTGGTTCTAACCACAACCCCTCGAGCCAACGCGTCGCAACCATCTACATCTACGACCACAACGGAGATCTTCGTCATGGAGTCCGACCCGGATGACTTCACTGAACCCATCGCGGTCAAAACGGAAACTTTTACTTCGTCTCCGTTACTAAGATCGTTCAACCCGGTTTGTCAGACCCCTACTTGCAAAGCCGCGTCTTCACGCATCCTGAGTATGATGAACCACTCGGCGGAACCCTGCGAGGACTTCTACGAGTTTGCGTGCGGGCGGAGTTACCACCCTGAAGAGGAATCTTCGCAAGAGTTGAACCTTCTGGAGGAACAACTGAGTAAAGTTAATGATTCGTCTGCAAAGTTTGTGCTAGATTTTAACCAGTTTTACCAGAGTTGTTTGGGGTATGAAGATAAGTATGACTATAGGAGTCGGATGGAGAAACGTAAGTAGATTTTGTAGTGTGACAAGGTAATAAGGTGGTTTTAGTTGAGGAGTTGCTGGATGAGGTGGGTCAGTTCCACTTCAATGAGTCAGCGGAGATAGATCTAACTGAGTTGGTGTCTTCGCTAGTGCTGCGTCAATCGATGCCGTTGTTTGATGTTGGAATTGACGTGGATAAGCAATCTTCGAATTTGATCCTCCAGGTTTGTTGAAGGTGGAATTTGGGTGATTTTTCATCTCTTTGTTGTAGTTGAATTTGCCTCATCAAAGTTTTCTACGTGCGGCTTTGGAAGACTGGTCTGAGTTGTCCTTACTGAAGAAACTGTGTCTTCGGAAACAAGAGTCGCTCGTGCTTGAAGACCAAATCAGTCTAACGGATGTGTACTCATCGTATGAAGGGTGTCAGGGTGACTACGGTCCTTACGTGGACTCAGTTGGCAACGTGCTCAGAGAATTGAAAGCTTTTTCCAGTCTGAGTCCTAACGATTCACTCAAAGAAACCACAAATACAAAAATGAACATAGAATTCGAAGTTTTGGACACCCTTAAGGTAACTAGTAACTTTATTGGAATTTTTTTAATTTAAAACTTTCAGGACCTGCTGGATTCCGGAGCCATTTTGAAATCCTTCATGAACAAAAAGTACGAAATGAGGCGGATCGTGGACTTGCAAAAACACTTTGGTCTCCTCGACTGGAAGCGACTTTTCCAAACACTCACGGGTCACCAGATCCAAGACAACACTTTAGTCCAAGTCTATTTCGCCGACTATTTTCGCAAACTCTTCAACCCAACCAAAGTTGAAAAAATTCGTAAAAGCCCGAAGTAAGTTTAACTCGTGTTGAAACCTACCTAAATTTTAATTATAGGGTGCTAAACAACGTCTTCCTGGCAATCCACGCCTACGACTTGTTCGTTAATACCGTCCTGCCTAAGGAGAAGTTCAAACGACCCAGCTTCTGTATGGACGTGTCCAAGAAGCTGCTTCCAGACGTGTGGACGTACTTCGTCCAAAACACGATTTCCACCCACCAGCAAACCGTCGACAACAACAAACTCAAAAAGTTGTTCGAGGAGTTGAAACTAAATTTTTGCAAGTCTCTCAATGGTGCTAAATGGATCGACGAAAACACGAAAGTGGCGATAGTCAAGAAGTGCAACAATTTAAATCTGGTTACTTTTACCCCTCTGGATAGCGCTTCTTTGGCTAAAAACTACCAAGAGTTAAACGTCACGGATGATTACCCGACGAACTTAATTAATTTGTTGGAGAATTATAAACGGATGGTGTATTCCACAGCGGGCACGCCCATTTCTGCCAACACCATGTGAGTCGAAGTTGTTTGAAACTTCTCAACTGTCTGGTTTTTGCAGATTTTCCTACTTCTTAGACCCTTTGGATGTCAAACCTTTAACATTCTACGCCAACCCCATGATTGGTAAGTCCCCAGGTTATTTTTTCCGCGCTTACACTCTCCTTCCAGTCGTTCCGTTGGGTCTGATGCGAAAAACCCCCACCGGACTCCCAGACTACATGGTCAAAACCCGTGCTGGGTTTGCCATAGCGCGCCAACTGGCCCGCCATTTTGACCCGACTGGTATGACCTACGGAATCACCCTCACTTCGACCTCCAAATCCTCCTACACTGAGTTCGTGGAAACCATGAAGACCCTCATGGACTACTCCAGTCCGCGGATCTTCAACGACAAGAACATCAGTTTTGCTTTAAACGGGTCTTTATCTATCAATGAGAGGATTGTCGACAACACCGCTTTTCGAATAATTTACGACTCGGTGAACTTCGCCCCAGATGCAGATCTTCTGCCCTGGATATCCTCAGACTACGCTAGAGAGAAAGTTTTCTTTATAGCGATAGCCCAAGGTGATTTGGTTGGATTTCTGATTTCTGTGATAACGTCTAATTTTCAGAAATGTGCAAGAAGACCTCTATGTTGGACTTCATGTTGCAAGTTTTTGAAGAGCGCCATCTGCCGGCGGTGTTACGTGTTGAAAACATCATAGGCAATTCGCAGCAGTTTGTTTCGAAATTCGGGTGTGGGGTGGGCTCCGGTATGGACTTCTCCCAAAAGTTACAGTTTCCGTTTTTGGAGGTATATGAAGATGACTATGAAGGGGGAGATGATGTGTATCAGGGTTAATTGTGTTGTGTGTTTGTAGCGTAATTAATAAAAACATACTAAGTACGATTTTGATGTATTTATTGATCGTGGTAATCAGTGCTTTCAGGGAGCTTTCCGCGGAGCTTTGAGTCGACGTCGCTCGCTAGATGGCGGCGTGTTTCTACTACCCGTTTTTCAGTTTATTGCCACGAAAATACAGCGTGATTTATGCTGCTAAAATGTAAATTAACAAACTGTATCGAGTTGGGAGTAAAAAATTAAATATTGTTACTTAATCTGAGACGATAAATAAGATAAAAATGTAAACATGAACGTGTTAAACGACTGCGATTTTCTGGAAGCTTCCCGGTAAAAATGTGTACGTATCACTCTGAGTGTGTAAGAATTTGCTGAGGTCAGCAGTAAAGTGAATAATGTTACAAGCGTAGCAGAAATCGTTAATAATCCGACCTGAGAAAGTAGAAGTGGTAAAGATTTACCAATACTGCTACACACAGATTTGTTGTGGATTTATGAACTCACTTACTATCACTTTATTTATTGTAGTTGTTCATTTTTGTTTTAATGTTTAATTTTTTGTTTGTACTTCGGGGGCGAGGGAAGTTCTGTCTAATACGTGAGACCAATTTTTTGTGAATGGTTTGTATAAAGTTTGTTATTTAAAAAATAGAAAAACACTGAATTTTCGAGTAAATAAATTTTATTATTCTGTAATTAGACTAATTAGAATCGCTATACTCTTGATACAACATGGCACAGATTAAATATAAAATATACATAAATAAATTATGTTGGCACTACTTTTTAAATAAAAAAGTGAATTTTTCTTGCGTTTATGTTGGTATAACGAAAGACGTGATAAATTTAGGTTATGTTTTGGATATATTTTGTAAATTTAAAAATGTCAACAATCTGTCAATCTGGCAGCTGCAAACTTTCGAACTTAGTCATCTCTGCTGATCACGCGATAGAAAATTCGAGCTCAAAATTATCCTTAAGATGATGATACATTGTCTAATAAATAAAGCACTTGATTTCGTAGAGGAATTTCTTGTAAATAATTTTTAATTACCCTGTTTCTTTAATAATAATTTAATAATGACAATACGTAATAAAAGTATTAAAAGTAAAAATTTCAATTTTTCCTAGTGTTTAATTTTTTGAAAAACTTGAAAGAATTTAAAGGACTTCTAGTGTTTTATTTTTTGAAAATGTTGAAAGGATCATGTGGCCGCTAGTGTTTGATTTTTTGAAGAATTTGAGAGGATCTTCGGGGCTTTTATGTTTTAATTTTTGAAAAATATTGAGCATGATCGAATCTTGGGGCCTCCAGTGTTTTTTTGAAGAAGTTGAAAGAATCTTAAGGTCTTCAAATGTTTCATTTTTTGCAGAAGTTTAAAGAGACTTGAGGATTTCTAGTGTTTTATTTTTTGAAGAAGTTTGAAGAATCTTCGGGCTTCTAATGTTTTAGTTTTTGCAAAAATTGAAGGTGAACGAATTTTTTTTCTAGTGTTTTTTTTTTTTTTTTTTGAAGGAGTTGAAAGAAATAATCTTGGGGGCTCCAGTGCTTTATTTTTTGAAGAATTTGAAAGAACCTTAGGGGCTCCTAAAGTTTTTTTTTGCAGAAGTTGCTAGAATCTTTGAGATATCTAGTATTTTAGTTTGAAGCAGTTCAAAGGATCATGGAGGCCCAAGTGTTTTATTTTTTGAAGAATATTGGGGCTTGTAGTGTTTTAGTTTTTTAAAAAACTGAACATGATTAAATCTTGGGGCTCCAGTGTTTTTTTGAAGAAGTTGAAAGAGTCTCGAGGATTTCTAGTGTTTTATTTTTTGAAGAAGTGGAAAGAAATAATCTTGGAAGTTCCTAGTGCTTTATTTTCTGAAGGAGTTGAAAGAATCTTAGAGGCTCCCAATGTTTCGTTTTGCAGAAGTTGCTAGAATCTTGGGGTTATCTAGTATTTTAGTTTTTGAAGAAGTTGAAGGACCATGGGGCCCAAGTGTTTTATTTTTTGAAGAAGTTGAACGAATCTTCGGGCTTCTAATGTTTTAGTTTTTGCAAAAATTGAACGTGAATGAATTTTTGGGGCCTCCAGGATTTTTTTTGTAGAAGTTGAAAGAATCTTAGGCACTCTTAATGTTGCATATTTTGAAGAAGTTGAAAGAATCTTTGGAGCTTTTAATATTTCAGTTTTTGAAAATTTGAACGTCGACGAATTCTTTAGTGCTTTTTTTTGCAGATGTTGAAAAAGTCTTGGCGATTTCTAGTGTATTTTATAAACCCCTAGTGGTTTTTTTTTGCAGAAGTTACAAAATTTTGGCGATATCTAGTGTTATTTTTTGAAGAAGTTGAAAGAATCTTCGGGCGTCTAATGTTTTACTCTTTGCAAAAATTGAATGTGAACGACTTTTGGGGGAATCTAGTGTTTTTCTCTAGAAGTTGAAAGAATCTCGGATATTTCTAGTGTTTTATTTTTTGAACAAGTTGAAAGAAATAATCTTGGGGGCGCCTAGTGTTTTATTTTCTGAAGAAGTTGAAAGAATCTTAGGGGCTCCTAATGTTTTACTTTTTGGAGAAGTCGAAAGAACCTTAGGGGCTTCTAATATTTTAGTTTTTTAAAAAATTGAACGTTAATGAATTTTTGGGGCCTCCAGGATTTTTTTTTAGAAGTTGAAAGAATCTTAGGCGCTCCTAATGTTTCATATTTTAAAGAAGTTGAAAGAATTTTTGGAGCTTTTAATATTTCAGTTTTTGAAAATTTGAACGTGGACGAATTCTTTAGTGCTTTTTTTTGCAGATGTTGAAAAAGTCTTGGGGATTTCTAGTGTATTTTATGAACTCCTAGTGTTTTTTTTTGCAGAAGTTACAAAATTTTGGCGATATCTAGTGTTATTTTTTGAAGAAGTTGGAAGGATCATGGGGCTCCAAGTGTTTTATTTTTTGAAGAAGTTGTAGGAAATAATCTTGGTGGCTCGCAGTGTTTTATATTTTCAAGAATTTGAAATAATTTCAAGCTCTCCTAATTTTTTTTTAGAAGTTGAAAGAAAAATTCTGGGGTTTTCTAGTGTTTTATTTTTTGCAGAAATTAAATTTTTTTTGGTGATATCTAGTGTTTTATTTTTTGAATAAGTTGGAAGGACCATTGAGCTCCAAGTGTTTCATCTTTCGAAAAAGTTGAACGAAATAATCTTGGAGGCTCCTATTGCTTTATTTTCTGAAGAATTTGAAAGAATCTTAGGGCCTCTTAAAGTTTTTTTTTGCAGAAGTTGATAGAATCTTTGGGATATCTACTCGTAGTATTTTAGTTTTTGAAGAAGACCAAAGCATCATGGAGACCAAGTGTTTTATTTTTTGAAGAAGTTGAAAGAATCTTCGGAAGTCTTATGTTTTACTCTTTGCAAAAATTGAACGCGAACGGCTTTTGGGGGAATCTAGTGTTTTTCTCTAGAAGTTGAAAGAATCTCGGATGTTTATAGTGTTTTATTTTTTGAACAAGTTGAAAGAAATAATCTTGGGGGCGCCTAGTGCTTTATTTTCTGAAGAAGTTGAAAGAATCTTAGGGGCTCCTAATGTTTTACTTTTTGGAGAAGTCGAAAGAATCTTAGGGGCTTCTAATATTTTAGTTTTTGCAAAAATTGAACGTAAATGAATTTTTGGGGCTTCCAGGATTTTTTTTGAAGTTGAAAGAATCTTAGGCGCTCCTAATGTTTCATATTTTGAAAAAGTTGAAAGAATCTTTGGAGCTTTTAATATTTCAGTTTTTGAAAATTTGAACGTGGAAGAAATCTTTAGCGCTTTTTTTTGCAGATGTTGAAAAAGTCTTGGGGATTTCTAGTGTATTTTAGAAACTCCTAGTGTTTTTTTTTGCAGAAGTTACAAAATTTTGGCGATATCTAGTGTTATTTTTTGAAGGAGTTGGAAGGATCGTGGAGCTCCAAGTGTTTTATTTTTTGAAGAAGTTGTAGGAAATAATCTTGGTGGCTCGCAGTGTTTTATATTTTGAAGAATTTGAAATAATTTCAAGCTGTCCTAATTTTTTTTTAGAAGTTGAAAGAAAAATTCTGGGGGCTCCTTGTGTTTTATTTTTTGCAGAAATTATTTTTTTTTTGGAGATATCTCGTGTTTTATTTTTTGAATAAGTTGGAAGGGCCATCGAGCTCCAAGTGTTTCATCTTTCGAAGGAGTTGAACGAAATCATCTTGGAGGTTGGTAGTGTTTTATTTTTTGAACAATTTGAAATAATTTCGGGCACTCCTAGTGTTTTATTTGAAAATATTGAACATGAACGAATCGTGAGGGTCTTCAATGTTCTTAAAAGATTGTTTAAAAACAAGTTGAAAGAATCTTAGTTGGTGTTTATTTTTTTGTAGAAGTTGAAAGAATTTAGGAAAATCTAGTGTTTTATTTTTTGAATAAACTGAAAGAACTGAAGATTTTTTTGAAATAGTTGAACGAATCTTGAAACACTTTTATTTTAGTGCATTATTTTTTGAAGAAATTGAAAGGAACTGTGGGGCGTTTGAGTATTTATTTTTTGAAGAAGTTGAAATAATCTTAGGGCTACCAAGTGTTTTATTTTTTGTTGAAGTTGAAAGAATCTTGGGAGCTCCTAATGTTTTATTTTTTGCAGAAGTTCAAAGAATTTTTGGGTCTCCTAGAGTTTTATTTTTGAAAAAAGCTTAAAGAATTTTGAAGGTGCGTAGTGTATTATTTTTTGAAGAAGTTGAAAGAATCTTTGGGGTTCGTAGTGTTTTATTCTTTGAAGAAATTGAAAGAATCTTGGCGCTCGTAATATTTTAGGTTTTGAAAAAGTTGTTTTTATTATTTGAAGTAGTTGAAAAAATCTTGGAATCTCTACGGTTTTATTTTTTGAAGAAGTTGAAGAGAGGATTACGGTACCTCAAGTGTTTTATTTTTTAAAGAAGTTAATAGAATTTTGGGGGCTCCTAGTCTTAATGTTTTACTTAGTTTTTGAAAAAGTTGAACGTGGACTAATCTTGGGGAATTCCAGTGTCTTTTTTAAAGAAATTGAAATAATCTTGGAAGCACCTGGTGTTTTATTTTTTGA